ACAGAAAGAATAACTTTCAAGATTACTTTGTTAAGCGAATATAACTTGTAGTTTATACTTTTGTCATCCAAGTCTAGAAGTGATCACTTTCCACACTTGTAACATAAGGCACTCTTGTCTTTAACGTTTACGCTTCTATTTAATCAAGGTAGCAAACTAGTTTAAACTCAAAATCTCTTTCTAAAAAACAAAAAACAACTGTTGGATACAACCCTCTCATAGCTTAACTGTAGATAAAACTCGGCAAAAAATGTAAATAACTCACAAAAGCTCTCATAGCTCAACTTTAGATAAAACTCTGCATTCTCCGGTGAACTCTGTTCACTCCAAAAACAAAAACTCCCTTTTTCTGTATGTTATTTAAACCGTGATCACTGAAATATTGTTGCTTCTTTACTTTTGTCATTTATCAGCCTGAAATTCGTCAACTTCAAAGCTTTTGTAACAAAGGCCTCTTTAACACATTTCCCTTTTTATTGCTTTTATGTTTACACCATGGTTTCACTTTTGGATCCAACACTTTTCTCTGGCTAGCAAGGGGCCTCTACCCCGGTAATTACTCAAAAAAGGGCCTCTACCCTGTAATTACTCTTTTTCTCTTCTCAAGGGGCCTCTACCCCGGTAATTACTCAAGAAAGGGCCTCTACCCTGTAATTACTCTTTTTCTCAAGGGGCCTCTACCCCGGTAATTACTCAAAAAAGGGCCTCTACCCTGTAATTACTCTTTCTCTGCCCTGACTACTTCAAAGGACAGGGACCCCGATACGTCAAGGGGTTCTTTTTTCCTATAGGGACTGGTTACCCACACAGCTAACCTGTTTTCTACAACATAAGACATGACAAAGACGTGACAGAGACAAAACAAAGAAAATTTGATTTAGAGAGAGTTGGACAGAGCTCCCCCCTTGGACTGCCACCTTAACGTGGTGGGGGAGTTTGAGCACTCGGATGATCCTGGGAGCTATGCTGTCTGGGGCTTCATGCCCCTGGTAGGGTCTCCCATGGCAGACAGGTCTCAAGTGACGAGTCAGACGAAGCGCAGTCCGAAGCCAACCATGGACAGCACAACAACGAAAACCGTGACGTCGCCCGGCATGGCGCAGCCGGGGCCCCACCCTGGAGCCAGGCCTGGGGTCGGGGCTCGCAAGCGAGCGCCTGGTGGCCGGGCCTTAGCCCACGGGGCCCGGCCGGGCTCAGCCCGAAGGGATGACGTGGGCAGTCCCTCCTGTGGGCTCACCACCTGCAGAGGGGTCCGTGGTGGCGAGGTGCAGAGAGGACTGGGCAGCAGTCGAAGGCGGAGACCTCGACGACCCAGTCCACACACCCAACATCTGGCTCTTGGGACGTGGAACGTCACCTCACTGGGGGGGAAGGAGCCCGAGCTTGTGGGGGAGGTTGAGCGATACCGACTAGAGATAGTCGGCCTCACCTCCACACACAGCTTGGGCTCTGGAACCCAACTCCTTGAGAGGGGTTGGACGCTCCACTTTTCTGGTGTTTCCCGCGGGGAGAGGCGGCGAGCTGGGGTGGCCATACTCATTGCCCCCCATCTCAGCCGCCACGTGTTGGAGTTCTCCCCGGTGAATGAGAGGGTCGCGTCCCTCCGTCTCCGGGTGGGGGACAAGTCTCTCACTGTTGTGACGGCCTACGGGCCTAACGGTAGTGCAGAGTACCCGGCCTTCTTGGAGTCCTTGGGAGGGGTACTGGACAGTGCACCGCCCGGGGACTCCGTTATTCTCCTGGGGGACTTCAACGCCCATGTGGGAAATGCCAGTGACACTTGGAGAGGGGTGATCGGGAAGAGCGGCCCCCCTGATCTGAACCCGAGCGGTGTTCAGTTGTTGGACTTCTGTGCCAGTCACGGCCTGTCCATCACGAACACCATGTTCGAGCACAAGGGTGTCCATCAGTGCACGTGGCACCAGGACACCCTAGGCCGGAGGTCGATGATCGACTTTGTAGTCGTATCATCTGACCTTCGACCGCGTGTCTCGGACACTCGGGTGAAGAGAGGGGCGGAGCTGTCAACCGATCATCACCTGGTCGTGAGTTGGATCCGCTGGCAGGGCAGGAGGCCGGTCAGACCTGGCAGGCCCAAGCGTGTAGTGAGGGTTTGCTGGGAACGTCTTGGTGAGCCCCCTGTCAGACGGACTTTCAACTCACACCTCCGGGAGAGCTTCTCCCAGGTCCCGGCAGAGGAGGGGGACATCGAGTCCGAGTGGACCATGTTCTCTTCCTCTATCGCCAATGCGGCGGCTCGTAGCTGTGGTCGCAAGGTCTCTGGTGCTGGTCCCGGCGGCAATCCCAGAACCCGGTGGTGGACACCGGCAGTAAGGGATGCCGTCAGGCTGAAGAAGGAGTCCTATTGAGCAATGATGGTTCGTGGGACTCCTGAGGCAGCTGTCCAGTACCGGCAGGCCAAACGTGCCGCGGCCCGGGCTGTTGCAGAGGCAAAAACCCGGGACTGGGAGGAGTTCGGAGAGTCCATGGAGCATGACTATCGGTCGGCCTCGAAGAGGTTCTGGCAAACTGTCCGGCGCCTCAGGAGGGGGAAGCAGTTCTTTGCCAACACCGTGTATGGTGCGGGTGGAGGGCTGCTGACCTCGACTGGGGATATTGTCGGGCGGTGGAAGGAATACTTCGAGGTTCTCCTCAATCCCCCCGTCACGTCCTCCGTCCAGGAGGCAGAGGCTGAGGATGTTGGGGCGGATACTTCCATCTCCCTGGCCGAGGTCACCAAGGTGGTTGGCAGCCTCCATGGTGGCAAGGCGCCGGGAGTGGATGAGATCCGTCCTGACTATCTAAAGTCTCTGGATGTTGTAGGACTGTCTTGGCTGACACGTCTCTGCAACATCGCGTGGCGATCGGGGGCGGTGCCAATGGAGTGGCAGACCGGGGTGGTGGTCCCTCTCTACAAGAAGGGGGACCGGAGGGTGTGTTCCAATTATCGTGGGATCACACTCCTCAGCCTCCCCGGTAAGGTCTACTCCAAGGTACTGGAGAGGAGGCTACGTCCGATGGTCGAATCTCGGATTCAGGAGGAGCAGTGTGGTTTTCGTCCCGGTCGCGGAACACTGGACCAGCTCTATACTCTCCATCGGATACTCGAGGGTTCATGGGAGTTCGCCCAACCTGTCCACATGTGCTTTGTGGATTTGGAGAAGGCGTTCGACCGTGTTCCCCGGGGTGTCCTTTGGGGGGGTCCTCCGGGAGTACGGGGTCCGGGGTCCTCTGCTGAGGGCTGTTCGGTCCCTGTATGACCGGAGCCAGAGCTGTGTTCGCATTGCCGGCAGTAAGTCAGACCTGTTCCCGGTGCATGTTGGCCTCCGCCAAGGCTGCCCTTTGTCACCGGTTCTGTTCACTGTATTTATGGACAGAATCTCTAGGCGCAGCCAGGGGCCGGAGGGGGTCCGGTTCGGGAACCACAGGATTTCATCTCTACTTTTTGCGGATGATGTCGTCCTGCTGGCTCCAACGAACCAGGACCTGCAACATGCACTGGGACGGTTTGCAGCCGAGTGTGAAGCGGCTGGGATGAGAATCAGCACCTCCAAATCCGAGGCCATGGTGCTCGACCGGAAAAAGGTGCCTTGCCCTCTCCAGGTGGGTGGAGAGGTCCTCCCTCAAGTGGAGGAGTTCAAGTATCTCGGGGTCTTGTTCACGAGTGAGGGGAGGATGGAGCGTGAGATTGACAGGCGGATCGGTGCAGCGTGCGCAGTGATGCGGTCTCTGTATCGGACCGTTGTGGTAAAGAGGGAGCTGAGCCGAAAGGCAAAGCTCTCAATTTACCGGTCAATCTTCGTTCCCTCCCTCACCTATGGTCATGAGCTGTGGGTAATGACCGAAAGAACGAGATCGCGGATACAAGCGGTCGAAATGAGCTTCCTCCGCAGAGTGGCTGGGCGCTCCCTTAGAGATAGGGTGAGGAGCTCTGTCACACGGGAGGAGCTCGGAGTAGAGCCGCTGCTTCTACACGGCGAGAGGAACCAGTTGAGGTGGCTCGGGCATCTGTTCAGGATGCCTCCTGGACGCCTTCCTGGGGAGGTGTTCCGGGCACGTCCCACCGGGAGGAGGCCCCGGGGAAGACCCAGGACACGCTGGAGAGACTATGTCTCTCAGCTGGCCTGGGAACGCCTAGGGGTCCCCCCGGACGAGCTGGAGGAGGTGTGTGTGGATAGGGAAGTCTGGGCGTCTCTGCTTAGACTGCTGCCCCCGCGACCCGGCAACGGATAAAGCGGAAAAAAATGGATGGATGGATGGATGGATGGACAGACCTCCGGGACAGCTCAAAATTTAGCTAGTATCCAATTATGCAGACTTTACATATTAAAAAAGGTGTCTGCTTACCTTATTTTCTTTGTCCGGACTGTTCGAGAGGTCGACCAACATCTTTTCCGCGTCTAAAAATTCAATTTAAACACAAAACAGAGCTAGTGAGGGAGCAAGAGCAAGCCCATCCAAAAGCGAGCCCTTTCAGCGTCCGCTGGGATTTCTCCCCTTCCAGATAACGTGCTGTTGCTCCCACACGCCGAAAAAAAGAAACAGAGGAAATTCCCTCAAAACAATCCAGAGAATGGCACACACTGAGCCGCGGATTCTCCACCAAATCTGTCAGGATTCAGCAGACAGAGACGGATCGTGGTGTGCCAAACTCTGGAAGTTTATTTAAGTTTCTCTCAAGTTCCACTGGTTTACTCTGTTTCTTTCTCTCAGACAGAATAAAGGCAGTACACAGTTTATATGGTCATTGTCACGTCACACATGGAAAGACATACGTGTCACAAAGAGACAGTCACATCATAGTCATAACATGGAGTCCTTGTAAAGTCCTTGTAGAGTCCTGCACGTAGGCCATATTGCTATCTAATACTAACAAACAGAATATAAATATTAACTTTGGATGAAAATATAATACAGAAACAACAGACAACAGTCACTCCACTTTACCATTTTATTCATTTACCTTGTTTAAAATGAAATATAAAAATGGAAATAATAATTTAAAAAAACAAACCCGAAGAGAGCTCAGACGACTCAGGGTCCGAAGCCAGCTGAAGGTTGATCTCCTCTCCATCTGAGTCGCAGGGGTTGACTTCACTCAGGATCATGTCCAGCGCCTGTTGAGTGTTGAGTCTTTTCTGCATCTTTGAAGGAGGTTTGCACACCACAGAATTTTTGAGGGCAATGAAGTAGTCAGGCCCTGTGCAGTGCTGAATATATACATCTCATTACAACAGGCGTGACCACCCATTTTAGCATAAGCTATAGCCCATATATGTGCCAATTTACACCTGCTCGTGTGCTTAGCTTGTTGCGTAGAAGAAAAATCAATGATGTCAAACAGGTTTAACTAATAATTTTGAGAACTTTAAGTCTGAGAAATGAACCAAAGCAACTGTGTTATTTTAATTTAATGTAAATTTAAACATTAAATTGACGTTGCATGTTTGTATTCTTATCTCTTCTGAATAGTCATTCCCTATAAAACCAATAGTCCTAATTTCAACGCTTTGGTCATCACATACAAAATTGTTGAACTAGTTCAAAACCAAAATCTGTAAAGCTCATTTAATAAATTCCTTTCTCTTTTTATAACCTGATAATCTTTTGCTAAATTGAACAATTGCTCTCAGATGATTTTCAGCTTCACTCAGAGGTGTGTGTTTATTGCTTACAGTTTTCACAGTTCAACCATAATGATATTTCTTACTGTATGTTTGTTATGATATGCAGAAGTTGGGTAAATACGTGTATGTGACTGTATTTTTGTTGCACAATACTGTAGAATTGCAAAGAGCAAATGCAGTAAATATGTGAAAGACATACAGAACACAGACAAGCAAACTACATGTACATTCGTACAGACATATACATACATACATACACTTTACATATAATTTATTCTTGTATACAGTAGGTCCCATTTCGTTTTGTCGCCTTTCACGCGTGAATAGCACGAGACGCACGTGTGAAACACGCGTCTTTTATTTTTTTTTCCCCCAGTGATGCTGCAATGACCCAAAAAACCACCAGGTGGCACTTGTGAGCAGTGCCACCTTGAGCTTTATGACACCCAGTCATAAAGCTCAAGTCTTTGGCGCAGGAGGACCTGGGTTCGAGTACAAGTTAAAGACTTTTGATACAACTCCACAATCAGCACCAAGTTATGAAGATAAAATTATTCCACTTTTGTACTGGCTTTTTATCTTTGCAGGGTTAGGAACTGTGAATAAACTAGTCACATTTCAACAACATAATCTCTTTAATACATATTGTCAGCCGCTGGTTCAAAACTACAGGTTATCTGGACATCAGCACATACAGACAAGTTTTACAGACTGCAGCAGTCTGGGTCTCTGCTAGATGTAGCAGCAGAAGAGTGACAAAGAATGGACCAAAGAGCTCTCGTCTTATACCATGATAATTTGAAACACATGCAACAATATGTCCCAACATCCTTAGGTGAAGACAATACCTCCTATGTTCAGGACAAACAGTAGCCCCCGTGTAAGTAAGCCTGAGGCTACTCTAAACAGATGTTCTCTGCGTTCTTGCCTTAATTTAACTTCCTGTGTTTAATGGCTGGGGGATGATTCCATACATTCTTGCCTGGGGGCTGGGAGAGAATTCTCCATCCCACCACACAGTAGGTTAACCCAAAGCTGTCTAAACTTTTAATACATTAATTCACTTTAATGAAAATCCAACAACTCTACTAACATTTCCCTCCTGTTTTTCATTAAAAGAATTAATCACATTCAATGTTTAGTAAACCAACTTAAAGATGGAACACAATGAAATTAATACAAACACAGTATTACATTTGAATCCAAGTTGTGTCGACTCAACTTAGAGACCCCTCTTGACATGTGTCTTATAAAAATCACATTGGTTACAGAAACACACACAGAAAATAACTCAAAAAAGTTTTTTTAGAGATCATTTCATATGTATAGAATTACTCCCCTATAAACCATATCTCCCCCCTGTTTGAGACATTAAAAATGGCTCAATAACTGAACATAATTCCTAATTATTCATGTGTATGAAATGAAAAAGACACAAATACCCAATTTACTCATGTAAATTAATGTAGCATCAAAATGTATAAACTAAACGTTCATTTGAAATGTATTAACCTTGGAATGTTTTCACCTGAAATGTATTCACCTGAAATGTATTAACTTGAAATGTGTTAGCAAATTACACCCCACACCAAAAAGCCTATTGTCCAGTAACGCCTGTTGTAGACACGCCTCCAAACCCCAATGTCTTCTGCAGCCAGCAATGTCCAGCCCCATCCAGCCCCATCATGTCCAGAAGCCTCTGTCCTGTTCACACACTTTAGAACCGACAGCAAAAACTGGAAACCTCCAGTCCTCAGATCTTTGCACAAAGGTGATGTCTTTGGTCAACCCAGTCTTTCAGATGTTTTGGAAATCTGCAAAAATGTCCCAAACACACAGAGTCAAGTTGTTGATTTGAGTCTGACCTCTGGATGACCCTCTGCATCATTGCTTCTGTAGTTGCAGCATTTAGCCGTTGGTTTGGCCTGCTGGTTTGGCTTAGTTTGGCTTAGTTTGGCTTGGTTTGGCCTGCTGATTTACTGGTTGATGATTGGTGGGGGTGGGAGTGGGCGTCTCCTTCACAGGAATGAACTCTGAGCTTTTGAGCATCAAAAGTGGTGTTTTAGGTGTTTCCCTCAAACAAAACACACAAAGTACACATTTGTTAATACATTTCAAACTTAGTTCAGTAAACCCAAAAGAAAACCTTAGCAGTTAATGAAAACTGTTGCTGAAAACAGTCCTATTACTGTATATTTTCTTGTGTCAGAAATGAAAACATGACAATTAACTATTGAAATAATGTATAACTAGTTATATTCAGAATCAAACAGATTTGCATTTCTTTGATGAAAACATTAAACATGCTACAGTAACTTCCCTTACTGTTGAATTTAAACCTTTCAAATGAAACTAAACATATTTATTATTCAAATCTGAAAAATTAAACTGCTTATTTTCAGAGTGTTTTCCACTTATCTGATTGTTCTGAGTCAGCATCAGTCAGAGAGGACCTCTTAGGCGTCTGATTCGTCGTTCCCAAGCACAGCACTTGAACTTGTAATTGATCTGTGAAGTTTAAAACACTCTCGTGCCCAATGGTCAAAAGAACCACAATTAAAGCAGCCTTGCTTCTTTGTGCCACTGCTTCGCTCCCTCCTCCCCATCTGGATGCACTCTGCTCCCAGATCTGTCTTCCTGGTTGGAGTGGAGTGAGGCAGTGGCTGTGGATGGAGCTGTGGCCTGGAAGGACCAGACCATCTGCCCCCAAGTGTCTCTCTTTGACTGGCTGTGATGGACTCAGAAACAGAAGAAAACATTAGTGTTGACTCACTCATGACTTCTTTGCATTGTTTAATCTCAATACATGCATCTAGAAACTTCTTTTGCTGTTTCAACATTTTTCCCTGCACATCTAAAATGTTTTTTAAATCACTCAGCTTTCCCAGACTGAGTGAAGCCATGTGTTCTTCACAAAAATCAAGTGTTAATTCTAACCTGCTGTTAACGTTACAATTATCCATTGCTACTTCGTTAGTCTTTCTCCTAACATACTCAACACTTTCTGTACAATCCCTCTTCCAGTGTCCACTCTTGTGACATTTTAAGCATAAATCATTGCTTCTATCTTTACTATCACCCTTTCTTTTTCCTTCCTGAAACTGACTCCTCTCTCGCTCTCTTCCCACCTTTCCTATTCATCTTATAGTCTGTTAGTTTAGTCAGTTAAGTCCCAAACATAGAAGACAAACACTTACATGCAAAACCTGAAGTAACAAGCAAACAAATACTACTCACATAAGAGGAAATGTTAGTCTGTTAAATCTTACACATAAAGACAGTTACTCACAAAACAAACAAAAACCAAATGTTTTCACCAGTAAAATGTTTATCACTGGTTCCACCCCTTTTTAATTATTTTTGTTAATGTAGCTAGCATTAACAAAAGTAGTTAAACTATAAAAAACTTACTACTCCACTCAACTAGAGTTGAGCAGACGGGAGGGACAGAATTGGGAGCAAGGGAGAAGGGGGAAGAGGGGAAGAGGGGGAACAGGGAGGGGGGGGGGAAGAGGGGAAAAGCAGAAGGGGACACAAAGGATGCACCTCAAACGTGCACGCACACACACACTCACACTTTAGGCCTTTATATCTAAATTTCAATTTCCAATTTAAATTATTATTTAGAAAAATTGTTGTCTTATTATGCAGGCTACCACAAAGTTCTACCAAAAAGTCACTAATCGGCTGAAGAATACATCACCACTCTCAAAATGTTCCATTTTCCCTCAAATGGCCAGATCTGGTCTTCCAACTACACGTATGCGTCCATAGTGCAGAATTTGTTTTCTCTTCTCTGAGGATGTTTATTTACCCAGTGGATAGAAGTTTCATCTATTCTGTCGCTTTGTTGGTACCGATGAACTAACCAATGGGGACTTTCACCCTTTTAAATTCTCCACTTTCTTAGAAGTGCGTGATATCTCACTGCCCCAATGCTTTTTGAGAAGATAAATTGGATTTCCTGCCTTCAAAGACGATTTAAATTTAGTTTCTTTTTTTAGAAAAAATTAGTTTTACCTTGTCCATGTGGATGTCCAGAAACTCTAGTTCTGCCGTCAACTTCAATCCGGAGACTGGCCATGCCTCAAAGATGGAGTCCTCAAAGCAGTTCTGAATGAAGAAGACCTCACCATTGCTCCAACTCCATGTTTGAGGCATCCTCAGCTCCGCAGAAAAGCATGTTGGCATCCGGCGCAAGAAGGACCAAAATATGTGAATAAACTAGTCACATTTCAACAACATAATCTCTTTAATACATATTGTCAGCCGCTGGTTCAAAACTACAGGTTATCTGGACATCAGCACAAACAGACAAGTTTTACAGACTGCAGCAGTCTGGGTCTCTGCTAGATGTAGCAGCAGAAGAGTGACAAAGAATGGACCAAAGAGCTCTCGTCTTATACCATGATAATTTGAAACACATGCAACAATATGTCCCAACATCCTTAGGTGAAGACAATACCTCCTATGTTCAGGACAAACAGTAGCCCCTGTGTAAGTAAGCCTGAGGCTACTCTAAACAGATGTTCTCTGCGTTCTTGCCTTAATTTAACTTCCTGTGTTTAATGGC